GGGCCATTAAAGGTCATATGCGTGGAAAGGGCGGGGGCCAACTCAATACTGAACCCTACGGACTAAGACTGGGGGGCCATTAAAGGTCATGTGTGTGGAAAGGGCGGGGCTCAATACTTGGGGGCAATATTAGTGTTTATACGGGGGGGCGGGGACAATACTTGGGGCAATATAGTGTATATACGGGGGGGGAGGGGACAATACTTGGGGCAATATAGTGTATATACGGGGGGCGGGGGGGGACAATATAGTGTATATACGGGGGGGAGGGGACAATACTTGGGACAATATAGTGTATATACGGGGGGGGGGGGGGGGGACAATACTATGTGGGCAACTATGTATGTATTATACGGGGCCCACGGGAGCTACAATATGGTGTATTAACGGGGGGGCCGGGGACAAGTGTTATTTGGGCGGGGCATACTTTCTTGGCAATATAGTGTATATACGGGGGGCGGGGACAATACTTGGGGCAATATAATGTGGGTATATACGGGGGGGGGGGGACAATACTTGGGGCAATATAGTGTATATACGTAGGGGGGGGCGGGGACAATACTTGGGGCAATATAGTGTATATACGGGGGGGAGGGGACAATACTTGGGGCAATATAGTGTATATACGGGGGGCGGGGACAATTACTTGGGGCAATATAGTGTATATACGGGGGGGATTGGGGACAAATACTTGGGGCAATATAGTGTATATACGACGGGGGGCGGGGACAATACTATGGGCAATATAGTGTATATACGGGGGGGAGGGGACAATACTTGGGGCAATATAGTGTATATACGGGGGGGGGCGGGGACAATACTTGGGGCAATATGGTGTATATACGGGGGGGGGGGACAATACTTGGGGCAATATAGTGTATATACGGGGGGGGCGGGGACAATACTTGGGGCAATATATAGTGTATATACGGGGGGGCGGGGACAATACATTGGGGCAATATGGTGGTATATACGGGGGGCGGGGACAATACTTGGGGCAATATAGGTATATACGGGGGGGGGGGACAATACTTGGGGCAATATAGTGTATATACGGGGGGGGGGGACAATACTTGGGGCAATATAGTGTATATAAACGGGGGGGGGGGGGGGACAATACCTTGGGGCAATAGTATGTATATACGGGGGTGGGGGACAATACTTGGGGCAAATAGTGTATATAGGGGGGGGGGGGACAATACTTGGGGCAATATAGTGTATATATGGGGGGGGGGGACAATACTTGGGGCAATATAGTGTATATATGGGGGGGGGGGACAATACTTGGGGCAATATAGTGTATATACGGGGGGGCGGGGGACAATACTTGGGGCAATATAGTGTATTATACGGGGGGGCGGGGACAATACTTGGGGCAATATGTTTGTGTATATACGGGGGGCGGGGACAAATACTTGGGGCAAAATAGTAGTGTATATACGAGGGGGAGGGGACAATACTTGGGGCAAATATATGTGTATATACGAGGGGGAGGGGACAATACTTGGGGCACGTTATGGTGTATATACGGGGGGGGGGGACAATACTTGGGGCAATATGTGTGTATATACGGGGGGGGACGGGGGGCGGGGACAATACTTGGGGGCAATATGTGTATATACGGGGGGCGGGGACAATACTTGGGGCAATATGGTGTATATACAGGGGGGCGGGGACCAATACTTGGGGCAATATAGTGTATATACGGGGGGGCGGGGGGCTTGGGGACAATACTTGGGGCAATATAGTGTATATACGGGGGGGGGGGGACAATTTACCCAATACTGGGGCAATATGGTGTATATATGGGGGGCGGGGACAATACTTGGGGCAATATAGTGTATATAGGGGGGGCGGGGACATTACTTGGGGCAATATGGTGTATATATGGGGGGGGGGGGACAATACTTGGGGCAATATAGTGTATTTATAAAAAATTTATATGTAGAATAAAATGGAAAAATAATTTGATAGTCAATCATATGAATATCCAAAGAAAATATGAAAAATATTGTAAACTTCCACTGAAGAATTCCTGACTCTGTTATGGGAAGAACAGTTGAAATCCTCCAACAGGCCTCCCAATTATCAGTGATTCCCCCCCCCCACCCCCCCCCCCCCCCCCCCCACCCCCCCCCCCCCCCCCCCCCCCCCCCCGCCCCCCCCCACATCCCCCCCCCCCAACTAAAAAAATAAAATCCTCCAATGGGGTTCATAAACAGGCCGACTTACAACGGTGCTGAGATCGGAAGGAGCAGCGAACACATTCCATAGGTGAGACGACCCCCCCCCCCTTAAAAGGCCGGAACAGAGTCGCTGGTTTCCTGATCTGCGCAGCAATTTTCGGGGGTTCGGGACAAATCCCACCGATAGGAGAAGAAATCGATGACACACATTTGCGGGATCGGTCCGTACAAAGTCCACAGTCCTGCAGGTTTTGGTGATTTGGAAAGGAGACCTTGAATAGAGCAGAATCCCTCACCTTCCACCCCCAATCACAGAGCCTCTTACTGGGGGATTCCCTGACCACCCAAACACCAGGATTTGGTTGAATCGCGCCGTTATCAGGCCCAGAGGACGTATCACAGACTCCCGAGTTCAACCTCTCAAGGGATCCGGGTTGCCTGCGGGGCTTCTCCAGATATCCAACCCTCAGTTGGTAAATCTCTCCACGTACCACAAATGCCATATAAGAGAGAAGAACACCCTCGTTGTGCAGTAAAATACAAAAATCTAAATTTTATTTGCAGCAAAACAAGTCTCTATAGTACAATCGGCATCTCAACATAATGTTTCCAACCAACAAAATGGCCGCAGCTCATAACAGTGTGCGATGACGTTACACATCGTGGCTTTACCCTACGTGTTTCGTCAGAAAGCTGTCAGAGGTGTCGATGGCGTTATTTAGCAAGGGCACTCGTCTGTCCTACTTCTTCTCAAGGTCCATGGAAGGCCCGCAAATACCCAGTTCAACCTGGATCTCAGTATTCCACCGACATATATACAGTCAGGCCCATAATATTGGGACATGGGACACAATTCTAACATGTTGGCTCTATACACCACCAATGGATGTGAAATGAAACGAACAGATGTGCTTTAACTGCAGACTGTCAGCTTTAATTTGAGGGTATTTACATCCAAATCAGGGTGAACGGTGTAGGAATTACAACAGTTTGCATATGTGCCTCCCACTTGTTAAGGGACCAAAAGTAATGGGGACAATTGGCTTCTCAGCTGTTCCATGGCCGGGTGTGTGTGTATTCCCTCATTATCCCCAATTACAATGAGCAGATAAAAGGTCCAGAGTTCATATTCAAGGTGCTATTTGCATTGGAATCTGTTGCCTGTCAGCTCTCAAGATGAGATCCAATGACCCACCCCCCCAAAAACCTCCGAAAAACCCCTAAAATCTCGAGATAGCCCCCCCTCCCCCCCCACCCCTCTCCCCCCCCGAGCTCTCTCCCCCCCCCTCGCTCCATCCCCGCGAGCAGAAGAAACTCTCGCCCACCCTAATAACTCTCTCTCCAAAACTCTCCCCCAACCCCTAGAGAGAGAAAAAAAAGGCGAGAGAGAGGCGACCCTCCTCTCCTCGCCCCCCCCCTCTCTCTCTCCCCCCAAAAGAGAGCTCGCCCCCCCCCCCTCTCTCTCCCCCCCCCTCTCTCTCTCTCTCCCCCCCACCTCTCTCTCTTCTCTCCGCCCCAATCCCTCGCCTCTCTCTCATCTCTCACCCCTCTCTCTCTCGCCCGCTCGTCACTCATCTCCCCCCTCTCCCTCTCTCTCTCTCCACCCCTCTCTCTCTCTCTCTCCCCCCTCTCTCTCTCTCTCCCTCCCCCCCCTCCTCTCGGGCCCCCCCTCTCCCCCTCTCGCTCGCTCTCTCTCCTTCCCCCTCTCTCTCTCTCCCGCTCCTCTCTTCCCCCCCTCTCCCCCTCTCTCCTCTCCTCCTGTCTTCTCCCCCCTCTCTCTCTCTCCCTCGTCTCTCTCTCTCTCTCCTCCTCTCTCCCCCTCTCTCTCCTCTCTCCCCTCTCTCTCCCTCTCTCCCCCTCTCTCTCCTCTCTCCCCCTTCTCTCCTCTCTCCCCCCTCTTCCCTCTCTCCCCCTCTCTCCCTCTCTCCTTCTCCTCTCTCTTCCCCCTTTCTCCTCTCTCCCCCTTTCTCCTCTCCCCCCTTTTCTCCTCTCTCCCCCTTTCTCTCTCTCCCCCTTTTCTCTCTCCTCCCCTCCTCTCTCTTCTCTCTCCCCTCTCTCTCTCCCTCGCCTTCTCTCCTCCCTCCCCCTTCTCTCTCTCTCTCTCTCTCTCTCTCTCTCTCTCTTCCCCCCTCTCCTCGCTCTCTCTCTCTTCCCCCTCTCTCGCTCGCTCGCTCTCTCTCTTCCCCCCCCCTAGTATATGATTGTGAGTTAGGGACCTTAGATTGTACGCTCCTCGGGGGCGGGGACTGATGTGAATGTACAATATATATGTAAAGCGCGGCGGAGTACATTGACGGCGCTATATAAGTACCTGAAATAAATAAATAAATTGGTACAATGATCAGTGCTTACTTTTAGCACTGACTACTATTCTCACAACAAAAGTGTCAGATTGCCCGCCGCACTATCACTATGTTCTTACAGTAGTAAGCTGATCACCACCATTATAGGAAGTATAAAATAAATAAAAACTCCAATATATACCCCATAGTTTGTAGGCACTAGAACGTTCGCTCAAACCAATCATTATACAATTATTGGGAATTTGTTTTTTTTTTTTTTTTTCCAAAAAAATATGCAGCAAAATACATACTGGCCTAAATTTTATAGACATTTTTATTTTTTTTAATCTTTTTTTTATTGGGTGTTTTATAGCAAAAAGTAATTGTTTGTTTTTTTTTTTTTTTTTAAAGCACACTTTCCCTGAAACTGCCTATGCTGTTATAACCCGGGGGGGGGGGGGGGGGGGTTCTTGAGCTTTTTGATCCTGTCATTCCGCAGTGCCAGTTCCTCACGGTGTCTGTCCTCCTTCCACAGAGTGAGTCCCTGGTTGTGTGCGAAGTGGACGAGCAACTGGTGGAGAGGCTGAAAAAGTTTCGTTTCCGAAAAGAGACCAACAATTCCGCCATTATCAGTGAGTGCGCCAATGTTACACGCCGGCTGTAAACGTTTATATCTTGTGTTAGAAGGCCGCGTCCTGCGGTCAGGAAGCCGGAGTCGCTCTCTTAGCCCCTGTTCACACCGAGCGCATTTCCTGCGTTGTCATGCCTCTATGGTGTCGCTCACATCAGAGCGGTGCAGCCGCAGCGTGTTGTGAAGAGGCTCCTTGTGGTGCCGCAGTGCGCAGTATTGCCTCATAGACTTCAATGACAACACATGAAAGACATTTACAGACAAGTTTTGTGTATTTTTGGCAGAATTTTATGTATAAAATACTTTCCTCCAATAAACAAAAAAAAACAAAAAACATGAAGTGTCAAAAACGTGTAAAGTTGCACTACAGCAATGCACTGCAAAACGCATCTTCATGCAGCACTAGTGTGAACCCGGGGCTAAAGGGGGACTCCGCTTAGTGGAGAAAAATATGGAAAAAAAAAATTATTTTTTACTTGTTCGTTTGTTTTTTACCAGACAGACAGCATGAATGAATCCATAGCAATGATACTTTGTATCTCTATCTCCCATCTGATCGATGTTTTATAAACAATGTTACTTTGTATCTCTCTATCTCCCGTCTGATCGATGTTTATAAACAATGTTACTTTGTATCTCTATCTCCCGTCTGATCGATGTTTATAAACAATGTTACTTTGTATCTCTCCATCCCCCGTCTGATCGATGTTTATAAACAATGTTACTTTGTATCTCTCCATCTCCCGTCTGATCGATGTTTATAAACAATGTTACTTTGTCTCTATCTCCCGTCTGATCGATGTTTATAAACAATGTTACTTTGTCTCTATCTCCCGTCTGATCGATGTTTATAAACAATGTTACTTTGTATCTCTCCATCCCCCGTCTGATCGATGTTTATAAACAATGTTACTTTGTATCTCTCTATCTCCCGTCTGATCGATGTTTATAAACAATGTTACTTTGTATCTCCATCTCCCGTCTGATCGATGTTTATAAACAATGTTACTTTGTATCTCTCCATCTCCCGTCTGATCGATGTTTATAAACAATGTTACTTTGTATCTCTCTATCTCCCATCTGATCGATGTTTATAAACAATGTTACTTTGTATCTCTCTATCTCCCGTCTGATCGATGTTTATAAACAATGTTACTTTGTATCTCTCTATCTCCCATCTGATCGATGTTTATAAACAATGTTACTTTGTATCTCTCTATCTCCCGTCTGATCGATGTTTATAAAACAATGTTACTTTGTATCTCCATCTCCCGTCTGATCGATGTTTATAAACAATGTTACTTTGTATCTCTCCATCTCCCGTCTGATCGATGTTTATAAACAATGTTACTTTGTATCTCTCTATCCCCCGTCTGATCAATGTATATAAACAATGTTACTTTGTATCTCTCCATCTCCCGTCTGATCGATGTTTATAAACAATGTTACTTTGTATCTCTCTATCTCCCGTCTGATCGATGTTTATAAACAATGTTACTTTGTATCTCTCCATCTCCCGTCTGATCGATGTTTATAAACAATGTTACTTTGTATCTCTCCATCTCCCGTCTGATCGATGTTTATAAACAATGTTACTTTGTATCTCTCCATCTCCCGTCTGATCGATGTTTATAAACAATGTTACTTTGTATCTCTCCATCTCCCGTCTGATCGATGTTTATAAACAATGTTACTTTGTATCTCTCCATCTCCCGTCTGATCGATGTTTATAAACAATGTTACTTTGTATCTCTCCATCTCCCGTCTGATCGATGTTTATAAACAATGTTACTTTGTATCTCTATCTCCCGTCTGATCGATGTTTATAAACAATGTTACTTTGTATCTCTCTATTCCCGTCTGATCGATGTTTATAAACAATGTTACTTTGTATCTCTATCTCCCGTCTGATCGATGTTTATAAACAATGTTACTTTGTATCTCTCCATCTCCCGTCTGATCGATGTTTATAAACAATGTTACTTTGTATCTCTATCTCCTGTCTGATCGATGTTTATAAACAATGTTACTTTGTATCTCTATCTCCTGCCTGATCGATGTTTATAAACAATGTTACTTTGTATCTCTATCTCCTGCCTGATCGATGTTTATAAACAATGTTACTTTGTATCTCTCCATCTCCCGTCTGATCGATGTTTATAAACAATGTTACTTTGTATCTCTATCTCCCGTCTGATCGATGTTTATAAAACAATGTTACTTTGTATCTCTCCATCTCCCGTCTGATCGATGTTTATAAACAATGTTACTTTGTATCTCTATCTCCCGTCTGATCGATGTTTATAAACAATGTTACTTTGTATCTCTATCTCCTGCCTGATCGATGTTTATAAACAATGTTACTTTGTATCTCTCCATCTCCCGTCTGATCGATGTTTATAAACAATGTTACTTTGTATCTCTATCTCCCGTCTGATCGATGTTTATAAACAATGTTACTTTGTATCTCTATCTCCTGTCTGATCGATGTTTATAAACAATGTTACTTTGTATCTCTATCTCCTGCCTGATCGATGTTTATAAACAATGTTACTTTGTATCTCTATCTCCTGCCTGATCGATGTTTATAAACAATGTTACTTTGTATCTCTCTATTTAGTCTCTGAATAGTGTTTATAAAGTCAGACATTTTTTTTTGTCAGCTACAGCTGCTTTATGGTGGGGGAGGGGGGGGGGGGGGATGCAGAGGAGCAGAAGGAGAGGATTTGCTGCACATTTCCTGTTTCTATCAGGATTGTGTTGGGCATGTATAACAATTCCAGTGTCCTCAACTAACTTTTTGTAGCAGATTCCTACATTCTGTTGCTCTGAAGAAATAGCTGTTTGTTTCCCCGCATCCTGTGCAGGCTGATTCTGAATGGGAAGGTCTATTTAATTATATTCATCTGGTACACTCATATTCTGATGAGGAAAGCTGCAGGGTCTGCATCCCTTCAGAAGTATTTAACCCTTGGGGGAGTATCCCAGCAAAACTGACATTCCTATTGCAGGGGATGCCTAAAATCTGACTTGTATCTTAGTGCAGACTTCTGGCAAAGTCAGGGAGCCAATCGCACAAGCAGGAAATGACAGTTCTGGGGGCGGTTCCTCCATGGACCTCCCAGGTTGTCATTACACTCAATTTTACAGAAAATTGCAGCGGCTGCCCATTGAAAAGGAAACGTCATTTTTAATACTAAACTGCAGCATGGCCGTGTAGCAATTGTATGTTATACAGGCGGATCGCGATCCATGAACGCCGCGGGTGACCTCATTTTTGGTTTACGAATGAAAATCCATTGAAAATAACGCCGCGGTTTACAAATTGTTTTCGCAATACGAACGGATTCATTGGTTTTCGATGCATTTACACATTTTTTTAATCGCGTCCCTGGACAGTATTTATGGACACTTTATAAAGCGTTTTGAAAAGATAAGACTTTTTTTTTTTTTTTTTTACTTTTATCTGACCTCCGGAACGGATGCGTTCCTGCGGGAAACTGTGTTTCGGTTTACAGATTTTTCACAATACAAAGTCCCGCAGAACGCATTAAATTCGTAAACGGAGCTACGCCTGGATTATTGTTTGTTTAATTGCTGTATGTTTTCATGAAAATGGATTTACAATTTAAGGACAAAATTATTGCCGAATAAAAGAACGGTTTGTAGCAGAAATGTTGTGTTCCGTGGAGGGGGGGAGGGGGGGGGGGGGCTGGTTAAAAGCCCTACAATGTACATTGATTACCTGGAGGGGATTGTTTTTTGTTTTTTTCCCCCAACAGGAGTTTTGCCGTGTGTATATAATCCAGTGACAGTGTGTGGGTGTTGCGCTGTCCGGGCGCTTTCACCAGGAACAGCAAACAGGATGTGCTTTACATAGCAACTTCCCATTCCCGGGAAAATATTAGAAGTCTTTTTAGAGGAAGAAAAGAGAATTTTTCTTTTAAAATTCCACTGGGTTATAGGGAAGGTGGGGTATGGAGTGTCCTTCATGGGACTGATGGGGATTCTGGTCTTGTGTGTGTAAATATATATTTCTTTCTTTATTTTTTTTATTTATTGAGTGTGTATACACACAAAAAAAAAAAAAAAAACAACAAAAAAAAAAATGTTTTTTTTTTTTATATATATATATACACACACAGTTGCAGGAAATGCGTATTTCCTCCCCCCTGATGGTGAATGTTCACCCCTCACACAGAAACGATCGGTCTAACAATGGAATGTTCCCCCCTCACACAGAAACGATCGGTCTAACAATGGAACGTTCCCCCCTCACACAGAAACGATCGGTCTAACAATGGAACGTTTCCCCCCTCACACAGAAACGATCGGTCTAACAATGGAACGTTCGCCCCTCACACAACAGAAACGATCGGTCTAACAATGGAATGTTCCCCCCTCACACAGAAACGATCGGTCTAACAATGGAATGTTCCCCCCTCCCACAGAAACGATCGGTCTAACAATGGAACGTTCCCCCCTCACACAGAAACGATCGGTCTAACAATGGAACGTTCGCCCCTCACACAGAAACGATCGGTCTAACAATGGAACGTTCCCCCCTCACACAGAAACGATCGGTCTAACAATGGAACGTTCGCCCCTCACACAGAAACGATCGGTCTAACAATGGAACGTTCGCCCCTCACACAGAAACGATCGGTCTAACAATGGAACGTTCGCCCCTCACACAGAAACGATCGGTCTAACAATGGAACGTTCGCTCCCTCACACAGAAACGATCGGTCTAACAATGGAACGTTCGCCCCTCACACAGAAACGATCGGTCTAACAATGGAATGTTCGGTGTAACACTGAGAGACAGAATACAACAACAAATTCAGCAGAAATGCGTCTAACAAATGATGACGGATCTGCATGGTCATGAGGGAAAGAAGGATTGGATCCCCTTCACAAAACATGACTTAGTACTTGGTGGCCAATCCCTTGTTGGCCATCACAGAGGTCAGGCGTTTCCTGGAGTTGCCCCAGGTTCGCACACATCTCAGGAGGGATTTTGGCCCACTCCTCTTGGCAGATCCTCTCCAAGTCATTAAGGTTTGGTGGCTGACGTTTGGCAACTCGAACTTTCAGCTCCCTCCACAGATTGTCAATCAGATGAAGGTCTGGAGACTGGCTAGGCCACTCCAGGACCTTAATGTGCTTCTTCTTGAGCCGCTCCTTTGTTGCCTTGGCCGTGTGTTTTGGGTCATTGTCATGCTGGAACACCCATCCACCACCCATTTTCAATGCCCTGGCTGAGGGAAGAAGGTTCTCACCCAAGATTTGATGGTACATTGCCCCGTCCATCGTCCCTTTGATGCAGTGCAGTTGTCCTGTCCCCTTAGCAGAAAGACACCCCCAAAGCAGAATGTTTCCACCACCATGTTTCACAGTTGGGATGGTGTTCTTGGGGTCATAGGCAGCATTCCTCCTCCTCCAAACACGGCGAGTTGAGTTGATGCCAAAGAGCTGGATTTTGGTCTCCTCTGACCACAACACTTCCCACCAGTCCTCCTCGGCATCATTCAGATGTTCAGTGGCAGACTTCAGACGGGCCTGGACATGGGCTTTCTTGAGCAGAGGGACCGTGCGGGCACTGCAGGATTTCAGTCCTTGTCGGTGTAGTGTGTTACCAATTGTTTTCTTGGTGACTGTGGTCCCAGCTGCCTGGAGATCATTGACAAGATCCTCACGTGTAGTTCTGGGATGATTCCTCCCTGTTCTCATGATCATTGACACCCCCACGAGGTGAGATCTTGCATGGTGCACCAGACCTAGGGAGACTGACATTTGTTTTGTGTTTCTTCCATTTGTGAATGATTGCACCAACTGTTGTCACCTTCTCACCAAGCTGCTTGGCCATAGTTTGGTAGCCCAGTCCAGCCTTGTGTAGGTCTACCATCTTGTCCCTGACATCCTTGGACAGCTCTTTGGTCTTTGCCATGGTGGAGAGTTTGGAATCTGATGGTTTGATGGCTCCTGTGGACAGGTGTCTTTTATACAGGTAACACAATGAGATTAGCAGCACTCCCTTTAAGAGACTGCTTCTAATCTCAGCTTGTTACCTGTATGAGAGACACCTGGGAGCCAGAAATCCTGCTGAATGATAGGGGATCAAATCCTTCTTTCCCTCATGAACATGCAGATCCGTCATCATTTGTTAGACGCATTTCTGCTGAATTTGTTGTTGTATTCTGTCTCTCAGTGTTACACCGAACATTCCATTGTTAGACCGATCGTTTCTGTGTGAGGGGCTAACATTCCATTGTTAGACCGATCGTTTCTGTGTGAGGGGCGAACATTCCATTGTTAGACCGATCATTTCTGTGTGAGGGGCGAACATTCCATTGTTAGACCGATCATTTCTGTGTGAGGGGCGAACATTCCATTGTTAGACCGATCGTTTCTGTGTGAGGGGCGAACATTCAGCATCAGCCGGGGAGCAAATACGCATTTCCTTCACTGTATGTATGTGTGTATGTATGTATGTATGTATGTATGTATGTATGTATGTATGTATGTGTGTGTGTATGTATGTGTGTATGTATGTGTATGTGTGTTTTATATATATATATATATGAAAAAGCTGTAATAATTTGCGTTTTTTTTATATCTGCCTGGAGTTCAGCTTGAAGTTTCTGTTGGGGATGAATTGCTGATTTGTGTTTTTTGATTCTTCTGCAGTGAAAATAGACAAGGATCGGCGTCTGGTGGTGCTGGAAGAGGAACATGAGGTCAGTCCTGTCATTGATCCGTGCCAATCATCTGTGGATTAGTGGGTGTGGGGCGCTCCTCGCTCCGTCATATGATCAGTCGGAGACACTCGCCGTATTTTCTGCTCTCATTCATCCAAGTATAATACACACACCGCCTCATTAACACTCCTGGATAAGTAGCGATGTGATTATATGTTGCAGATCAATCGATCGTATTTCCCATCACTCTTCTAGTGTATCTAAAGGCAGAATGTTGATTTTAAAGCCTCGAACAGACGATCAGAAAATTGTAGGAAAAATTCCACTTTGAAAGCGATGGTAGGATAATCTGATCGTTAGTACACCGCTTTTGTCTGAAATTATTTGAAGGGATGAGGACGTAAATGTCATTTGGGTGCAGCGCTGCACAACCGCGCAATTGTCCGTTGAGGTAACGCAACGGCATAATGCAAAAAATGGCCTGGTCAGGAAGGGGGGGGGGGAATCCTCAGGATTTTTTTTTTTTTTTTTTTAAAGCGGTCATATTGGTGCGATTCTGACTTGGTCGGAGCCGCACAGATTTCTGCAGTAGTACATGCACTACTTTAGGTGCTGCTTCCATCATAGACACCCGTGCCTTGCAAGCTGACATCCAACTTTGAAATTGTGCGACTTCACTGGTTGGTGTATGTATGTGTGTGTATGTATGTACTGTGTGTGTGTGTGTGTGTATATGTATGTACTGTGTGTATGTATGTATGTATGTACTGTGTGTGTGTGTGTGTGTGTGTGTGTATATGTATGTATTTTACTGTGTGTTTTTGTATATGTATGTGTACTGTGTGTGTATTGTGTATGTGCTGTATGTATATGTATGTGTGTGTGTACTGTGTGTATGTATGTACTGTGTGTGTACTGTGTGTATGTGTGTACTGTGTGTATGTATGTACTGTGTGTGTGTGTGTGTGTTTGTATGTATGTTTGTGTGTGTGTATGTATGTATGTACTGTGTTTGTATGTATGTACTGTGTGTGTGTGTATGTATGTACTGTGTGTGTGTATGTATGTATGTACTGTGTGTGTATGTATGTGTGTATGTATGTATGTGCTGTATGTATATGTGTGTGTGTGTGTGTATGTATTTTTTGTGTTTGTTTGTGTGTGTGTGTGTGTGTGTGTGTGTGTGTGTGTGTGTGTGTATATGTATGTATGTACTGTGTGTGTATGTATGTATGTACTGTGTGTGTATGTATGTATGTACTGTGTGTGTATGTATGTACTGTGTGTGTATGTATGTACTGTGTGTGTGTGTATGTATGTACTGTGTGTGTGTATATGTATGTATGTACTGTTGTGTGTGTATATGTATGTGTACTGTGTGTGTATATGTATGTGTACTGTGTGTATGTATGTATGTTTGTACTGTGTGTGTATATGTATGTACTGTGTGTATGTATGTATGTACTGTGTGTGTGTGTGTGTGTGTGTGTGTGTGTGTATGTATGTACTGTGTGTGTGTATGTATGTACTGTGTGTGTGTATGTATGTGCTGTATGTATATATTGTGTGTGTGTGTGTGTTAATATATATATATATATATGTGTGTGTATGTGTATGTATGTGCTGTATTTATATGTGTGTGTGTGTGTGTGTGTGTGTGTGTGTGTGTGTGTGTGTGTGTGTGTATTTATAGATATGAGTTATGAAGAAGTGGGGAGTTGATGAGAAGTGAAGTAGTAGGCGGGGTTGGCTGAGAACACGGGACCAGCAATTCAGAGCCACGTTGTCATGTCAAAAAGGACATTTCTGGAGACAGGAACACACAATTTCTGGCACATCAAGAGGTGTGTATATATGTATGTCTATTTTTTTATATATATATTGTACTTCCCCTTTAATCTAGAGTGGCGCAAGGTCTCAAGGAAGGGGGGGGGGGGTTTACTGTTTGGCGCCGGCCGTTCGTTTGAAACCTGTTTCGGTTGTTTGGCAGCAGACTGGCCTGTAATTCCAATGAATGAAGTTCAGGAATGCCCCCCACAGAGTCTACAAGACGTAGTTTGGTTCCTGGGTCAGCTGTGCCGAGGACAATTTCCACCAGTGTTGGTGACGGGTGGTATCAGGAGGACCGTGTGTGCGCCATCGTGCAGCTGAGACATGCAGAGCTGTTATTCAATTATCCCAACCTTCCACCAAATCCCCGGGGCCAATCCAGCTCTGCAATTACTGCACCCAGGGACCTGCCCTGCTAATTGCTGCTCTTTGTCTCTTTCTCTGCGCAGGGGATTTCTCCAGATGAGCTGAAAGATGAACTCCCAGAAAGACAACCCAGATATCCTTTTTACCCTGCGATCGGCGTGTGCTTGAAGTGTGTACAGGTCCCTGGTTGTTGCCCCCGGCTCATCTTCTCCCAGCCTCCATCCAAGTGTTGAGGGATGGAAGGTTGTGGGCCACAGCTAGTGACCACAGGAGTTGCTGTCAGCCACAGGTAATGAATGCGCCACCTACCCGGAAATGTAAAATCACGTATATTTACGTGATTGTGCGCAGCGTGGCCTCCCTGTAGCAGTACATCTGCTATGGGGGCGGTCTTGAAGTGGTTAAAGCGAACCTGTCATCACAGAATAAAAATGTTTGTAGAAGTAAGGACTTTTCAGGATCCCATTGCAGAGGATTTTGGTCTGGCCATGCAGTAAATGTGGAGCCACAAGAAATGGATAGTGAACACAGGAGTTGGTTTCAGCCACAGGCAATGGCTACAGTGGCCACAAGAGTTGGTTTCAGCCATAGGTAATGGGCCCAGTGAGCACAGGTGTTGGGTCCGGCCACAAGAAATGGCTCTAGTGACCACAGGAGTTGGTTTCAGCCACAGGTAATGGCTACAGTGACCACAGGAGTTGGTTCCAGCCACAAGAAATGGCTTCTTTAACCACAGGAGTTGGTTCCAGGCTTAGGTAATGGCTCCATTGACCACAGGAGTTGGTTCCAGGCTTAGGTAATGGCTCCATTGACCACAAGAGTTGGTTCCAGGCTTAGGTAATGGCTCCATTGACCACAGGAGTTGGTTCCAGGCTTAGGTAACGGCTCCATTGACCACAGGAGTTGGTTTTGGCCATAAGAAAAGAAATGGCTCCATTGACCATAGGAGTTGGATCTGGCCACAAGAAATTACTCCATTGACTACAGGAGTTGGTTTCAGCCACAGGCAATGGCTCCAGTGATCACAGGACTCCGTTTCGACTATAAGAAATGGCTCCAGTGAACATAGGAGTTGGTTTCAGCAACAAGAAATGGCTCCAGTGACCACATGAGTTTGTGGGGAGTTGTACGCAGTGGATGGACCCTGCTGGAGCAAGGAATGAGGTAAGCCATAGGTAATGGGCCCAGTGAACACAGGTGTTGGGTCCGGCCACAAGAAATGGCTCCAGTGACCACAGGAGTTGGTTTCAGCCACAGGTAATGGCTACAGTGACCACAGGAGTTGGTTCCAGCCACAAGAAATGGCTTCTTTAACCACAGGAGTTGGTTCCAGGCTTGGGTAATGGCTCCATTGACCACAGGAGTTGGTTCCAGGCTTAGGTAATGGCTCCATTGACCACAGGAGTTGGTTCCAGGCTTAGGTAATGGCTCCATTGACCACAGGAGTTGGTTCCAGGCTTGGGTAATGGCTCCATTGACCACAGGAGTTGGTTCCAGGCTTAGGTAATGGCTCCATTGACCACAGGAGTTGGTTTTGGCCATAAGAAAAGAAATGGCACCATTGACCATAGGAGTTGGATCTGGCCACAAGAAATTACTCCATTGACTACAGGAGTTGGTTTCAGCCACAGGCAATGGCTCCAGTGATCACAGGACTCAGTTTCGACTATAAGAAATGGCTCCAGTGAACATAGGAGTTGGTTTCAGCAGCAAGAAATGGCTCCAGTGACCACACGAGTTTGTGGGGAGTTGTATGCAGTGGATGGACCCTGCTGGAGCAAGGAATGAGGTAAGTAATTTTTCCTTAATCTTCTGCCCTCAACATAATGAGTAGCTAACCCATGAAGTTGTGCATTAAAGTTAACCTGTCATCGCAGAATAAATGTTGTAGAAGTAAAGACTCTTCAGAATCCCATTGCACCCATCGCAGGGGATTTTGGTGTGGCCATGCAGTAAATGTGGAGTCAAGGCTTGCTGCGTCTATGAGGTGCATTCTATAGAGAACGGGTAGGAAATGACTTTAGATTCCTCAGCAGTGGGTACATTTTCGTTTGTTCTTGCTCGCCGTATTCCAAACATCTTTTATTTCCCTTAATCTTGGCTTACATTCATAGTGTACAGTTATAAATACCAGCATGAAGATGGAAGGGTCTCGTACCCCTTGTGTTTCATCTTTTCCAGCCCCGTAGGTAAGTCTTAAGAACTGTTTGGTAAGTGCAGGAAGGATTTTCAGAAAAAAAGAACTCTAATTGGCATGACTACACAACATATTGCTTTTGTTCTTCCAGAAAACCTACAGCACTTTCTGTGAAAATAGATTTTATATATTCTCTCCATGACTCTTCTTGGTCCCTTATCTAAAGCTGTGAATTGTTTTTTGTGTGTGTTCTAGAATAAGCAGAACTGAACCAAAAATATAGATGATAGAAATACATTTTATGACCCAAGGTTTGTAGACATCTGGCCATCACCGGACATCCCATTCCAAAACCATGGCCAATAATACGGAGTTGCATCTTTGTGGCTCTGGCATCTTCCACTCTTCTGGGAAAGCTTTCCACAATGTTTTGGAGGGTGTCTGTGGGAATTTGTGTCCATATGCATGGTCTGGTACTGATGTTGGATGAGAAGACCTGGCTTACCATTGGTGTTCCAATCCATCCTAAAGGTGTTCAGTAGGGTTGAGGTCGGGGCTCTGTGCAGGACACTCAAGTTCCTCCACTCATCACACCTACAGTCAGGTCCATAAATATTGGGACATGGACACAATTCTAACATTTTTGGCTCTATACATCACCACAATGGATTTGAAATGAAACAAACAAGATGTGCTTTAACTGCAGACTGTCAGCTTTAATTTGAGGGTATTTACATCCAAATCAGGTGAACAGTGTAGGGATTACAACAGTTTGCATATGTGCCTCTCACTTGTTAAGGGACCAAAAGTAATGGGACAGAATAATAATCATAAATCAAACTTTCACTTTTTAATACTTGGTTGCAAATCCTTTGCAGTCAATGACAGCCTGAAGTGTGGAACGCATAGACATCAGCAGACGCTGGGTGTCATCCCTGGTGATGCTCTGCCAGGCCTTTACTGCAACTGTCCTCAGTTCCTGCTTGTTCTTGGGGCATTTTCCCTTCAGTTTTGTCTTCAGCAAGTGAAATGCTCAATCGGATTCAGGTCAGGTGATGGACTTGGCCATTGCAGAACATTCCACTTCTTTGGTTGCTTTTGCAGTCTGCTTTGGGTCATTGTCCATCTGCACTGTGAAGCGTCCAATGAGTTGTGAAGCATTTGGCTGAATATGAGCCGATAATATTCCCGAAACACTTCACAATTCATCCGGCTGCTTCTGTCAGCAGTCACATCATCAATAAATACAAGAGAAGCAGTTCCATTGGCAGCCATACATGCCCACGCCATGACACTACCACCACCATGATCACTGATGAGGTGGTATGCTGAGGATCATGAGCAGTTCCTTCTCCATACTCTTCTCTTCCCATCACTCTGGTACAAGTTGATGTCGGTCTCATCTGTCCATAGGATGTTGTTCCAGAACTGTGAAGGCTTTTTTACATGTCGTTTGGCAAACTCTAATCTGGCCTTCTGTGTTTGAGGCTCACCAATGGTTTCCATCTTGTGGTGAACCCTCTGTATTCACTCTGGTGAAGTCTTCTCCTGATTGGTGACTTTGACACACATACACCTACCTCCTGGAGGGTGTTCTTGATCTGGCCAACTGTTGTGAAGGGTGTTTTCTTCACCAGGGAAAGAATTCTTCGCTCATCCACCACAGTTGTTTTCCGTGGTCTTCCGGGTCTTTTGGTGTTGCTGAGCTCACCGGTGCGTTTCTTCTTTTTAAGAATGTTCCAAACAGTTGTTTTGGCCACGCCTAATGTTTTTGCTATCTCTCTGATGGGTTTGTTTTGTTTTTTTCAGCCTAATGATGGCTTCACTGATAGTGACAGCTCTTTGGATCTCATCTTGAGAGTTGACAGCAACAGATTCCAAATGCAAATAGCACACTTGAAATGAACTCTGGACCTTTTATCTGCTTATTGTAATTGGGATAATGAGGGAATAACACACACCTGGCCATGGAACAGCTGAAAAGCCAATTGTCCCATTACTTTTGGTCCCTTAACAAGTGGGTGGTACATATGCAAACTGTTGTAATTCCTACACCGTTCACCTGATTTGGATGTAAATACCCTCAAATTAAAGCTGACAGTCTGCAGTTAAAGCACATCTTGTTTGTTTAATTTCAAATCCATTGTGGTGGTATGTAGAGCCAAAAATGTTAAATATTGGGACATGGACACAATTCTATGGACCTGACTGTATATGAGCTTGTTTGACATCCCATCCTATTCCAAAACCATGGCCATTAATATTGAGTTGTCCCCTCCCTCCCATGGCCATTAATATGGGATTGCCCTCTCGCCCAATGGCCATTATTATTGAGTTGCCCCCCTTTGTTGCTATAACATCCTCTACTCTTCTGGTAAGGCTTTCACAGATGTATCTGTGGAAATTTTGTTCCCATTTGTGAGGTCAGGTACCGATGTTGGATGAGAAGACCATACTCATAAATGGCATTCCAATTCATCCCAATGGTGTTCAGTTGGGTTGATATTGTAGAGGTAGGTGTGGAACTGAAAGTTTTGTAAACTCCAGCCGGTTAGATCATTTATTGATGTTGGATGAGAAGACCTGGCTCATAATTGGCATTTCAATTCATTTCAGCTGTTCAGTAGGGTTGGGGTAAAGACTCTCTGCAGGACACTCGAGCCTCGCCCATCACATATATGAGCTTGTTAGACATCCCATTCCAGAACCAGGGCCATTAATATGGAGTTGCCCTGCTTTGTGGCTTTAATGTCCTCCTCTCTTCTGGGAAGGCTTTCAACAAGATCTTGGAAGGTGTCTGTAAGAATTTGTGCCATTTAGTGAGGTTAGGTACTGACGTTGGATGAGAAGACCTGACTGGTAACTGGCCTTCCAATTCATCCTAAAGGTGTTCGGTTGAGTTGAATAGTTCAGTAGAGTGCTGGACACTCGAGTTCCTCCACCCATCACACCTATATGAACTTGTTTGAAAATCCATTCCAAAACCATGGCCATTAATATGGATTTGCCCTCCTTTTGTGGCTTTAACATCCTCCACTCTTCTGAGAAGACTTCCAACAAGATTTTGAAGGGTATCTGTTAGAATTTGTGCCTATTACTGAGGTCAGGTACTGATGTTGGATGAGAAGACCCGGCTCGTAATCGGCATTCTAATTCTTCTCAAAGATGTTCAGTTGGGTTGAGATTGTGGAGGGAGCTGAGGAACATCATATGTGAATAGGAGGTCTTGGAAACTCCAGCCGGTTGGAGAACAGTTATCACTTTATTAATGTATGGCCTAAAATACGGCCAATGTGTTTTCGTGTTAAAATTCTTCTGTTGAGTAATTTCCTTCTTATGTAGTGAATGGACAGTCATGTGTTTTTTTTTTTTTCTAATTTAGGCTGCAAGCCAGAACAGCAGATGATGTACGCCGGCAGCAAAAACAAACTTGTTCAGAAAGCTGAACTCACAAAGGTAATTGTCTGCGTGTGCTTTTCTTTCATGTTTCATTTTCTTTTATTGGATTTCAGATCATTTACCAAAACCAGTTAGTTCTGTGGTGTAACAGTGTGTTAGAACCAACAGTAAAGCCCCAAGTACAATGCATGTACCCTATGGACAGTCTGCACACCCCAGAAACCCCAAAATCTCGGACTTACTGATATGCAAATTTTGACCTTCTGTGAGCAAGTCAAGGGCTGGCCCCTCCCTTCTGAAGCTCTTTGATGCTTCTTAGAAGTGTTTAGAAGGCTCATAGGAGTGTATATCAATCCATGCCTTTCTTTTTTTCTCATTGAATGCAAGGCGTTCTCTGATTGGACCAGGTGGAGACATCACTCCCCAGCCCCCTCTTTCCTGTTTTAGTAGTCGCTGATTCTACAGTGATCACAATTTCCTGGGTCCTATGCCGAGTGGCTGTCCTTGATGCATAATGAACACATGAGGTCACTCGCTTGGCATGGGCGCCATTCACAGATTGCCCTGCCCTTTTCCTATTGGATGCAAGGCGTTCTGTGATTGGACAAGGTGGAGATTTAACCTTACCATTCCAGGATCCCCCCCAGCATGAGTATGTTGAAGGGATGGGGGTGGCAAGGAAGATAAAATATAAGCAGATTAAACTTCAGCTTGTGTGTGTACACTATATTGCCAAAAGTATTGGAACTTTAATGGCCCCCCAGTCTTAGTCCGTAGGGTTCAATATTGAGTTGGCCCCGCCCTTTCCACGCACATGACCTTTAATGGCCCCCCAGTCTTAGTCCGTAGGGTTCAATATTGAGTTGGCCCCGCCCTTTCCACGCACATGACCTTTAATGGCCCCCCAGTCTTAGTCCGTAGCGTTCAATATTGAGTTGGCCCCGCCCTTTCCACGCACATGACCTTTAATGGCCCCCCAGTCTTAGTCCGTAGGGTTCAATATTGAGTTGGCCCCGCCCTTTCCACGCACATGACCTTTAATGGCCCCCGGTCTTAGTCCGTAGGGTTCAATATTGAGTTGGCCCCGCCCTTTCCACACACATGACCTTTAATGGCCCCCCAGTCTTAGCCCGTAGGGTTCAATATTGAGTTGGCCCCGCCCTTTCCACACACATGACCTTTAATGGCCCCCCAGTCTTAGTCCGTAGGGTTCAATATTGAGTTGGCCCCGCCCTTTGCAGCTATAACAGCTTCAACTCTTCTGGGAAGGCCGTCCACAAGGTTTAGGAGGGTGTCTATGGGAAGGTTGGACCATTCTTCCAGAAGCACATTTGTCAGGTCAGGCACTGATGTCGGGGGAGGAGGCCTGGCTCGCAGTCTCCGCTCTAATTCATCCCAAAGGTGTTCTATGGGGTTGAGGTCAGGACTCTGTGCAGGACAGTCAAGTTCCTCCACCCCAAACTGGCTCCTCCATGTCTTTATGGACCTTGCTTTGTGCACTGGTGGGCAGTCATGTTGGAACAGGAAGGGACCATCCCCAAACTCCTCCCACAAAGTTGGGAGCATGAAATTGTCCAAAATGTCGCCTTAAGTGTTCCCTTCACTGGAACTAGGGGGCCAAGCCTTACCCTTGAAAAACACCCCCACACCATAACCCCCCCCCCCCCCCCCCCAAACTTTACACTTGGCACAATGCAGTCAGGAAAGTACCGTTCTGGCAACTGCCAAACCCAGACATGTCCATCGGATTGCCAGACAGAGAAGCATGATTGGTCCCTCCAGAGAACACCCCTCCACTGCTCTAGAGTCCAGTGGCGGCGTGCTTTACACCACGGCATCCGACGCTTTGCATTGCACTTGGTGATGGAAGGCTTGGATGCAGCTGCTCGGCCATGGAAACCCATTCCATGAAGCTCTCTACGCACTGTTGTTGGGCTCATCTGAAGGCCACACCAAGTTTGGAGGTCTTTAGCTATTGACTGCAGACAGTTGGTGACTTCTGCGCACTGTGCGCTTCAGCATGCGCTGACCCCGCCCTGTCATGTGACGTGGCCTACCACTTGGTGGCTGAGTGGCTGTTGTTCCCAATGGCTTCCACTTTGTTATAATCCCACTAACAGTTGAGCGTGGAATATTTAGTAGCCAGGAAATGTCACGGATGGACTTATTGCCCAGGTGGCCACCTATCACGGGACCACGCTTGGAGTCACTGAGCTCCTGAGAGCGACCCATTCTTTCACCAATGTTTGTAGAAGCCGTCTGCATGCCTAGGGGCTTGATTGTATACACCTGTGTCCATGGAGGGGATTGGAACACCTGAATCACATGATATAGAGGGGATTGGAACACCTGAATCACATGATTGGGAGGGGATTGGAACACCTGAATCACATGATATGGAGGGGATTGGAACACCTGAATCATATGATATGGAGGGGATTGGAACACCTGAATCACATGATATGGAGGGGATTGGAACACCTGAATCACATGATATGGAGGGGATTGGAACACCTGAATCACATGATATGGAGGGGATTGGAACACCTGAATCACATGATATGGAGGGGATTGGAACACCTGAATCATCACATGATATGGAGGGGATTGGAACACCTGAATCACATGATATGGAGGGGATTGGAACACCTGAATCACATGATATGGAGGGGATTGGAACACCTGAATCACATGATATGGAGGGGATTGGAACACCTGAATCACGTGATATGGAGGGGATTGGAACACCTGAATCACGTGATATGGAGGGGATTGGAACACCTGAATCACGTGATATGGAGGGGATGGGAACACCTGAATCACATGATTGGTGGGCGGGGCCAATACTTGGGGCAATATAGTGTATGTATATGTGTGTATACATTTACAGTTGATGTGTGGGAGATGTTGTGTTTGTATTTGTATTTTTTTCCAAATGAAATGTTTTAATTCTCCATTCAATGTTTATTTTCTCGGTCACGGTTGTAAACACAATAAATATTTTGGCGATTTTTCTTCCTGTAGGTATTCGAGATCCGAAACACGGAAGACCTCACCGAGGAATGGCTGCTCGAGAAGCTGGGTTTTTTTCCACTAAACTCTATTTTTCTACGTCGCAGAGCCCGAAGTATTCCCTTTGTACTCCTGAATTCTCTTTTAGACAAGATGTCCGCCCACTCGCCGAGCGTCTGTGCCGCAAACATGCAGAAATCCTTAAAATAAACCGGCGGCTTAACTCCTTCCTAGGCCCCCCCCCCCCCTTCCTCCGCCTACAGAGCCGCTCAGAGGGGATGATGTGGGAACAACAGCAGGGAGATGCGTAACCTGGGGGGCCTCCACGACCTGTGGAGGGGACTACAAGTGCCAGCAGGCCTTACCAGAAGGTGGAGCCATCTGTGACTTGTAGTTCTCTAATAGTTTCATGTAATCCTGGCCACACGTTTCTGTTTTGTATCTTTTACTGCATCCTGCTTGGATACTTTTTTTTGTATTTTTTTTTTTTTTTGGTGCAACTGGCCTATCTGTGCTGTAGCTGGGTGGGGCTGAACTCCAGCCCTCAAGGCCCCCCGTGTTTGTGTTCCCCTTTTCGCAGGGACCAAGATTTATTAAAGCTGAAATGTATTAAACTTACAAAAAGGCTTGCGGATGGACGAGGTGGGGCGGTGATGTCATGATCTCCACCTCATCCAACCAGAGAACACTTTTGCATTTGTTCAGCAAATGTAAAGTGTTCTCTGAGAGGCGGCCAACCTCCCGTCCTCCCTTTCTCCCGTCCTCCCTTCCTCCCTTTCTCCCGTCCTCCCGTCCTCCCTTCCTCCCGTCCTCCCTTCCTCCCGTCCTCCCTTTCTCCCGTCCTCCCTTTCTCCCGTCCTCCCTTTCTCTCCCGTCCTCCCTTTCTCCCGTCCTCCCTTTCTCCCGTCCTCCCTTTCTCCCGTCCTCCCTTCCTCCCTTTCTCCCGTCCTCCCTTTCTCCCGTCCCTCCTCCCTTTCTCCCGTCCTCCCTTTCTCCCGTCCTCCCTTTCTCCCGTCCTCCCTTTCTCCCGTCCTCCCTTTCTCCCGTCCTCCCTTCCTCCCGTCCTCCCGTCCTCCCGTCCTCCTTTCTCCCTCCGTCCTCCCGTCCTCCCTTTCTCCCGTCCTCCCTTTCTCCCGTCCTCCCTTTCTCCCGTCCTCCCTTTCTCCCGTCCTCCCTTTCTCCCGTCCTCCTCCCGTCCTCCCGTCCTCCCCTCCCGTCCTCCCATCCTTGCTAGTATCGGCGTACAGTGATTTCCAGCCTCTAGAACACGGGTGTCACACTGCCGGCCCTCCAGCTGTTGCCAAACTACAAGTCCCATGAGGCATTGCAAGATTGACGGTTACAAGCACGACTCCCAAAGGCAGAGGCATGATGGGACTTGTAGTTTCGCAACAGCTGGAGGGCCTCCAGTTTGACACCCGTGATATAGAGGATCCCACAGGTATGGTTGGTCCAAACAAATGTAACTAACAATATCCATACCTGGAATTCTTCTTTAAATGTAAACCTGTGGGCGGAGCTGTGGGCGGAGCTGAGCACCGTTGCTGTATCTGTTACCCAACATGTGATCCCCACATCGATGACCCCGCTAGTGAACATGATTGCTGTGTGACTTCCTGCCGTTCACCTGGAAGAGGGACCAGCTCCGTTCTCACTCGCCCCGTAGCGGATCACTGCAATGACTTCGTCCTGATTGGCGGCTCGTAGGTTTCTCCCTGTGGAAGACATGTTTTATTTTACAATGCATTCCGATACCTGTCTATATACTGTATACCAGGGGCAGCTGGAACTCCAGCGGTTGTGAAACTACAAATCCCATCGTGCCTCTCCCGCTGGGAGTCATGGTTGTGGCTGTCAGTCCTGCAATGCATCATGGGATTTGTAGTTTCATCACAGCTGGAGTGCTGAGGTTGCCTTTTTTTTTTTTTTTATTTTTTTTTTTTTTTTTTTCCTTTTTTATCCATTTATGGCTTCCACTGAGTTTTTCTTGTTCGGGTCCAGAATATACGACGACCGGTCAGTATACCTGTCATGTTAAGTATTGAGACTGCTTGCTAAAGAATCTGCTTTTGCTTGTTTTATATATTTTTAATGGTTTTCATCTCCATGGACAGCACCAGTCATTCCATGACCTAAGGGCGGCCATTTTTTTTTTTTTTTTTTTTAAATTCACATCTTTATAACCATTGAGCTCTCTTGGATTGCTTTATGAAGGGCTCCGTCAGGATGATCCCCAAATTCAGACCTCTCCTATGGCCTTTGTTAGGGCAATGTAGAATTACGATGCTTAGTATATGGCAGGGGTAGGCAACCTGCGGCTCTCTAGCTGTTATGGAACTACATTTCCCATGAGGCATTGCAAAACTGACAGTTACAGCTATGACTTGCAGAGGCCTGATGGAACTTGTAGTCCTGCAACAGCTGGAGAGCCGCAGGTTGCCTACCCCTGGTGCCATTGGCTTCCCCAACACAGATCTTTCTGGCTCCAATGGTAGAGCCCATCACTGATGTTTGATAGGGACCATAAATTGAAGGAACTGGCCATGGATTGGGATCACAATGGCACCAAAAGGTGTCTTAAATTTGGAGGGTTTTCTTTCTGTAGTTGTTTCCCAGTGTAAAGGAGTTGAATTCCTTATTTCAGGGAGATTTCCCCAGCCTGGGCCGTAGGCGGAGTTTACCTGGCTGAAAAGGGGCGGCTGATCATCTTCTTGATCGTCTGCATGCAGAATAACATGGCCGACGCTCAGATCCCTACACATTGCTGCTGTGCCAGTGCTTTGTCTTGTGGTGTCACGCTTGGCTTGTCCTTAACGCGGAGTTCCACTCACCTGTCAAAAAATATGTCAACAGCTACAAAAAACTGAAGCTGCTGACTTTTAAAAAAAAATAGCCACTTACCTGTCCCACAATCCCGCGGTGTCCTCCCCGCAGCCCATTTCACCAGCCGTCTGGTGTTCCAGGCACCGGCATCTTCAGTGTGGGCCGGGTACCCACTGCGCATGCGCGAGTAGCGCTGCGCTTCCTGAATGGCCCCGTATTCTTCTGGGACCTGTCACATGTCCCAGAAGACTATGGGGAGGGAGGGGGGAGGATAACTTCCGCTTACGATCGCCTAGGCGATCGCAGCAGAAGTGGGAGGGGTTTCCTGTCCATTTCGGGTTCCTCCCACTCCCCAAAGGTGCCTATCCTAAATGGGAAGCAGGGGACCAGTCTTTAAAGCGGAACTTTCCCTTTTGGGTTTGAAGCCGATGGGACCACATCAGAACCGCATGCTAACCATTCAGAACACGGTTGCTGCTCAGTATTGCAATGCACACTTCTCTGAGAGATCAGAAAAGAATCCACAAATCGCTTTTCAGGAGTGGTGAACTCCGTCACCTTAAAGGGTAACGCCATCCTTTCCACCATGTTGGATGTCACCCGTATTTAGGGCAGAACATGGTGCCAGGCTTAACATACGAACATTTTGCAGATCTGTATTTAGCCGTTTGCATGGAGTTCTTATTTTAAAGCTGAATTCCAGGAATTGTCAAAAGTGAAGACACAATAAGTTAAGTCCAAGGAGGGGCATGACACCCCCTGGGCTCATCGCTATTATTTATGTCTCACAGGTTTATAGTACTCCCAAGTGACTGCCAGCCCGACGCTGATGGTTCAGGTCTCAGAAACTTCAACCTTAGGGTCAGTGCAGCTGCTATGCCTGCCCCGCCCATCCTTCTGCCCATTCACAGAAGCCTTTGTATTCTGTGAACTCGTACACAAAGGCTTCTCTGAATGGGCAGGGGAGGGGTGGGCAGAGCTGCTCTCCGTACCGCTGTCACAGCCCCGAGTGTCAGCCTGTGCTCCATCAGATATAAATATAGATACGTTCAGGAAATGTTATGCACCACCTTGGACTTAAAGCGACATTAAACCTTTTTTATTAGAATAACAAACCTGGTATACTTACCTGCACTGTTATGGTATTGCAGAGAGCGGCCCAGATCCTCCTCTTCTGGGGTCCCCCGTCAGCGTTCCAGGCTCCTTCTCTTTGGCGGATGCCCCCATGGAAAGTGGCTTTCCATGGGGGAACCCGTGCTGGATTTCGCGTGAACGAGTTGCGATTCAGATGCTGTGCGGAATTCGCACAGAAAACGCTGAGAATTCCGCACCACATCAATGTGAACCCGGGCTTAGCGTTGATCTTCAAGGATCTCTTTGTTCATCCAGATACTCTCCAGTCAAAAGTATCAAGCCCTGATGAGGAGGACTCCTCTGTGCTCCTGAAATGAGGTGGATTTTCCTGAGAACCTTGAATTCATAAACCACTTTTTGTGAAGCTTTTGAAGCATCATTTTCACTTGAAGCTTCAGTTCCAAGTATGGAGTGCGTAGTTCTGGATCACCATGAGCGGCCTACACATCTCCAGACCTACTCTAGACCCTCCCAAGGTCACAGTCCAGCGCCCCACCATGTGTTCTTATGGCATGATGTCTCAATGCTAGTTATGTGCCGCTCGGCTCAGAATACTGCATGGTCACGTGTGATGGACAAAGTATTCTTAGAGGGTCTCAGTTTTTTTTTTTACGAAGTTTTTCCGTATGTGCGACTTCATTTTGCATCTCTTCGTTATCAGTTGGGGTTCACATTCCACTTTTGAAAGCTAACAGTGTAGCTTATAATTCCTCAGTCATTTCAGTTAATTTTGTTAGGTCGGAAGCCTCTTTAAAAGGAGACAGAACCTCAGGGGTAAGTGCTGTCTCTGCATGGCAGACCCTTGCTCCGCCCATGAGGTTCTTTCAAGCATGCCAAGGCTTTGTTGAAGCAAGATGGTAGTGTTTCGCCTTGCAGGTTCTCATCAACCTAGTTCTGACCTGAAGTGTCCAACGCCGTCCAGTTCTGTTTCATTTTTTTTTGCTCTGGTGTAGAAGAACCCCGTAACCCCCTGTGTGCATCTAAATTGAGCATCTTATAATTCCACATTTTTTGATGAACATTTTCTAGGACAAACACTTTCTGTTTATGGGGTCCTCGTGATACTAACGTTTATACACATGTGGAATAATTCAACCAATAAGGACCTGACTGTGGCCCCGCCTCTTCATTATGAGGAGCTCTCAATGGGAAATCCCCTTCATGGGCTTCTTGCGATGATGGAGGTGGGTGCACACAACATGGCTCACTCTGCCACCTTGAAGCCCAACTCCAGGAATTTTGCACCGCTCACCTTTTATATTTTTGAACAAATTTTACCAATACTTCCCAACATTTCAGGCATTTTATGGTGTGCACATGTAGGGTGGGGTCCTCTTTTGGATGCCCTTTTCATTTTTTGTGGGGGGGAAGGCAGTCCTGAATGCTGATGTTCAGCTCCTGCTGTTGTCCTGAGAGCCAAGACTGGTGTGATGACATAACCCCAGGGGGTGTGTCCACGACACCCTGGGCTCACAGGAAGTGGACTGACAGACCCCGGCTGTCGTTCCGCCCAGAAAAGGATTGCCATGAGTAGTATTGCAGTGAAAGTTTATTTGTGGCAATGTAATAATAATGAAAAAGGTGGACTTGGGCTTTAGGAAAGACCCAGCGAGGACACAAAATAATTATGTGGCTTATAAGTGATTTGCTTCGTCTTTTAATATCTATTTATGTAGCTTCAGAAATGGAAATAAAAAGGTTAATAAAAAGGATGACTCCAGCTCTGCCATTAGAATCTACAAAAAATTGATTGATTTTTTTCTTGGACCAGAATTTTTCTTTTAAGACTGAACACCACTTTTCTGAGCCCGTTTTCATGTGAGGCTCTTACGGCAGTGCTCCAACCACCACCCCCCCCCCCCTTACAGAATCTGGGGTGGTTTACCCTGCCGAAGTTGAAATCTGTGAATGAGAAAACTAGGGGTCCCGTCTGCCCCCCCCAGCAGAGGGACTCGTAGTTCTCACTGGACAAGTTCTATGAGGTCACCATACTTGTAGTCCATTGACTCTTCTTCCAACCCTACGACCAAAGGTCCATACCTCGGTACGGACCAGCAGCTGCAGAAGCCAGAGCAGGCACCCATGATTCACTGATTGTGGTTGCTGCGCTTTCCAGGCTCCTGTGCAAAAAAAATGAATTCACATTTTTTAAAATATATTTAGTTACATTTATTTTTTTTTTTTTTTTGAAAGGTGGATTTATACTTTAGGACCAAAAGTTGAGAAACTGTTTTCCAGCACCTGAGGTAATAAAGTGCCTGAAGGAACCGCCTGCATTACATATTAAAACCAAGCAGGTTCTGCCTTTTGATGCCACTTCTTCACGCCAGAAAGTAAAAACCAGAAGCTGATTGGCTGCAGTGGGTGGCAGATACCGTTCCCATTTTTCAGGCATTGGGAGGATGACTTTCATTTCAATTCTGTGCATGTTCTGAAATCACGCATTCACATTGGTTACGACGTGTTCTAAAATCACAGTCACATTGGTTACGACGTGTTCTAAAATCGCGCATTCACATTGGTTACGATGTGTTCTAAAATCACAGTCACATTGGTTATGACGTGTTCTGAAATCACACGTTCACATTGGTTACGTGTTCTGAAATCACTCATTCACATTGGTTGTGACGTGTTCTGAAATCACGCATTCGCATTGGTTACGACGTGTTCTGAAATCACACATTCACATTGGTTATGACGTGTTCTGAAATCACACATTCACATTGGTTACGGCGTGTTCTGAAATCACACATTCACATGGTTACGGCGTGTTCTGAAATCACTTATTCACATTGGTTACGGCGTCTTCTGAAATCACGCATCTGGCTATGACATGTTCTGAAATCACTTATTCACATTGGTTACGACGTGTTCTGAAATCACG